CTCAGGATTGTTTTGATTAGCATTTCCCTGATGACTAAGGATGTTACACATTTCTTTAGATACTTCTTGGTCATTTGAGTTTTCTCAATTGAGAATTCTTTGTTTAGCTCTATCCCATTTTTAATAGGATTATTTGCTTCTCTGGGGTCTAACTTCTAGAGTTATATGTACATTTTAGATATTAGCCCTCTATCTAATATGGGGTTGGTAAAAAATATTTTCCCGATCTGTAGGTTGCACTTTTGTCCTATTGACAGTGTTCTTTGCCTTACAGACGTTTTCAATTTTATGAGGTCCCATTTGCCAATTCTTGAACTTAGAACCTAAGCCATGGGTAGTCTGTTCAGGAAATTTTCCTCTGTGCCAATGTGTTTGAGGCTCTTTCCCACATTCTTTTCAATTAGATTCTGTGTATCTGGTTTTATGTGGAAGCCCTTTATCCATTTGGACTTGAGCTTTGTACAAGGAGGAAAAAAGAATAGATCAATTTGCATTCTTCTATATGCCAACCACCAGTTGAACCAGAAACTACCAAGTTTAAATCAGGATCAGATAAAATATCTATGCAGTCCCATAACCTCTAAGAAAATAGAACCAGCCATTATAAGTCTTCAACCAAAAGAAGCCCAGGATCAGATGGAATTCTGCCCAGTGCAGAATTCTATTAGATCTTCAAAGCATACCTGATGCCAATACTTCTTAAACTATTCCACAAAATAAAAACAGAAGAAAAACTACATAATTTTTTCTATGAAGCCACACTCATGCTGATACCTAAACCACATAAAGACCCAATGAAGAAAGAGAACTTCAGACCAATTTCCCTTTTGAATATCGATGCAAAAATTCTCAATAAAATTCTTACAAACCAAATCCAAGAACACATCAAAAATATCATTCACCATGATTAAGTAGGCCTTATCCCAGGGATGGAGGGATGGTTCAATATACAGAAATCCATCAATATAATCCACTGTACAAACAAACTCAAAGAAATAAATCACATGATCATTTCATTAGATGCTGAAAAAGCCTTGGACAAAATACAAAACACTTTCATGTTAAAAGTCTTTGGAAGATCAATAATTCGAGGCCAATACCTAACCATAATAAAAGCAATATACAACAAACCAATTGCCAACACCAAACTAAAAGGAGAAAAACTTGAAGCAATCCCACTAAAATCAGGGACAAGTCAAGGCTGTCTATTCTTTCTCTATTTATTCAGTATAGTACTGGAAATCCGAGCTAGAGCAATTAGACAACAAAAGAAGACCAAAGGGATACAAATTGGAAAGGATTATTATTTTCTAGTGTGTATATATGTATGTATATGGTCTGGACTCTATACTTATAAGAAGTTCTTTTTTTTTTGGTTTTTGAACTTCACTTGTTTTACTTATTCATTTATTTATTTAGCCTACAAATTGTATCAACTTACGTAGCTCCCATACTTCTTACTGCTATCAAATGTATGTGTATTCCAGCTCAGCTACCATCACCACAGCAGGATTGACTTTAGCTGGTGACTAGGTGACATGTTCTATATTTGCTGCCAAAGTAGGAGTGTCATTGAAAGTAGGGTACTTACAGGCTGCTTGGTTTCTCACTTCTCAGCCCTATACCCTAAACTTTTCTTTTCTATATTTACTTTATGCCCTATAGTATGTGGTGACAGAGTCTGGAGACATCATTAATGCCATCTGTAGCATTTTCTATCTCAAACTGATTGGTTTTGGTTATTTGTTTGTTTGGTTGGTTGGTTGGCTGGGCTTTTAGATAAATGGGGGAGGGGAGAATGAGTTTGAGGAAGGGAAACTTGGAAGGGAGATAACATTTGAAATGTAAATAAATAACATAACATAAATAAATAAATGTAAATAAATAACATAACCAATAAAAAAAGCAATGCCATAAGTTTAACATTACTGGAAAAGGTAATAATTCTCCGGTTTCATTGAGCTATTAAAAAAACAAAAACTACCCCCCAACAACAACAACAGCAAAAACAACAACAAAAAAACTTTACTGAAACTACAGCTGATGAATTACTGTGGTTTGGGGATCAACTGGAAACCTTTCAGCCTTCAGAGTTCGGAAGTATACATCCTTTTTCAAGGGAGGAGATTTAGGAACTTCACTGGGTTGAAAGCAGGAACAGGATAAGAAGTCTGGGATAATCTGGTTTTGTGGACTACTCCAAATGTTGCCTTGATGCAATCCTCCACATTTTTGCAAGCACAGTCATTAGTTGTTATGGGATGCTGGCTTTAGGAGCATGCAACTTAAGTATTGCCAAGTCTTGTGTTCCAAATCAAACAATCAAACAAAAAACAACAATAAGAAAAAGTAGTTCTGTTCTTTTTAGATAAAATATTTAGTTATCAACTCTTTTATGTTTACTAAAGTTTTGCCTATGTCTGTCTACCACATTACAGGAGAAGGCAAAAGGTTCATTTTCATTTGAGTTACTGTAGCCGGACTGTTGTTAATTTGTAGAGTCTTCTTTTTTCCACCCTTTCCACCTTCCTCTCCCATTTAGTATCCTAACACAAGATAGAAGAGAAAGAATAGAGGGAGAGAGAAAGAGAGAGAGAGAAAGAGAGAGAAAGAGAGAGAGAGAGAGAGAGAGAGAGAGAGAGAGAGAGAGCCCTGAATCTAATTTCTTTTCATTCGTTTCTTTTTTATCACAACTGCTCATACCACAACCAAACTTCTCTAAACAGCCAACAACAAGCAGTAACACCTATAGGGGCTCTAGAATTTAGATACCCTCTGAAAATTTCTGAAATGTCATTCAAGGGCAGAAACTATCGGTTAGCTTAGAAAAACAAGCCTCTGCTAACACACAAAGCAAATAAATCAGTCAGCTGTTCCATAGCAGCCACATGTCCACATACCTGGCTTTAAAACAAGAATCTATTCTTAAAATATTTCTGTGTGTTTTAAAGAAACCAAAATTCCCGAATTCTAACTACAAGTTACATATGGTTGTCATCTGCCAAGTGGTCTCTTGGATTTGTTCTTTACCACTGAGCAGTTCTCCAGCCCCGGTGTTCCTATTTTTATTTCTGTGATTATAATAAGAATTTAAAATTTGTTTATAGTATACACATTGATATTTTGGCCCATCTTTGATCTTAAATTTGTTATATTTAATCATGTGATCTTTCTAAATATGCTCTGATTATATGATTGTTATAGCCAGATCATGTTGAACAGACAACTTCTTATGATACTATTCCTTATTTCTCTTACATTTTTTCTGTCAATTTTCTTGGTTATTTGTGAACCATAAAGGGGGTTATTATAGATGTCTAGTCTGCGGCTGATCATTCAACAGTCATATACTCTTAGTGTTTCTACCAGATAGGAGTCTCACCATTAACTGTAAAAGAAGTTTCTCTGACCAAGCCTGAAAAGCATAACTAACTATATTTACTGTACAATTGAATAAGGTTGTTAATTGATAATTGATAAAACTTAATCCTGCATAATGTAACACAATATAAGTCATTTGGAGAATAAAATGATTTAAAATTTTTCCTGAACATTTTGGTAAATCTAAAAAATTTTCCATTTATTTGGTCGATATTAATTCTATACATAGAGAAATAAGTAGCTTTCCTTCAAACTAATTACATACAAATATGCAGAAAATCCAAATTAAATCTGTATTGAGAATCATTTTTTCTGTGTCATATTGGCTATTATCAAAAAAATTAAAGATCAAATACTGGGTAAATGGGAAAAATAGAGATCCTTATGTACAACTAGTTGGAATGTCTATTAGTTCAGTTATGTTAAGAGTTGATAAAATGTTTTCTTATAAAAAATAAAGACATCTTTAATAATAGTGTATAAACACAAAAAGACTGCAAACATTATACAATAGAGAGAGTGGCACACCTATGTGCTAGTCAAATAGTGATGCCATGAATCTAATCTCAGTGTCTAGCTATTGATGAGAGAGTAAAGTAAACCTGGCACATGTTGCGCCCTACTAATTAGACACTAGATGGAACAAAATTGTTGGAGATAGGTTATTATCACATAAAATAACTACAACATCAAATATCACATTTTCTATCATATGTCAAATGTAGAACAAATAAAATTTGAAATTTAAAAGGGGACTACGATCAAGGAGGAAGATGGCTACTAAGAGACTAGACACAGGACAAGAGAGAGAATTAAGAAGTGCTAACATGATCAAAGTACTTTATATACATGTGTGAAAATTAATGGTTCTCCTTATTAAACACAACAAATATATACAAAAAAACTAAATGTAAACTAAATAAAATAAAAAGAACAATAAAACAGTAAGAAAATTCAGGTAAGGAGAAAGTCAGAGAGAAAAAAGAGAGGGAGAAAGAGAAAGTATATGAATGACAGAGAGAGAGAGAGAGAGAGAGAGAGAGAGAGAGAGAGAGAGAATAAAGCTGTAAATACAAATTTTAAAATATAGCAAGTTAGTAAATAACGTGAATTAGTGTTTAAACATAAATATCTGCACAGTTTTGGGTTACTGCTGTGACACTACACTGTTCAATACTGCATAGCCATTTGAAAATTGCTACATTTTATCAATTCTGAGAGACTGTAAGAAAACTAATAGTGTTATTGGCAAAGTAGTTAATGTGTCACATAAAAATTCCTTCATTTCTGTAGGAGATAGAATATAACTACTAGGTCAATGTACTATGCAAATTATAAATCATGAAATTATTTAGCAATTGAGTCAATTCAATACACATAGTATACCTAAATATGTTCACATTTATTGAATTTGGTGAACCAGAAAAAAAATAATCATTCATTTCCTAGCTTAATTTATTCTTGAACTTTGATTCTGATAGTGTGCCAAGAAAACTTGCTTGGAAATTGGCTCCTGCAGATGACAACATATTGCGTGATGCTCATTGTCCTTACATGAGGAACCTTGGAATAATAAAGCAAGGAGGCAAGGCATAAACTGGCATTCCTATACCACATAGTTTCTGAAATCTTTGAAGTGAAATGTCATCTGATTGAGACCTGCATGAAATTTGTATGGTGATTAAATTTATCTTCCAAGTAAAAATAATGAATTCACAAAAATGGAATACTGAATATGTAAAGGGAAAAATGCTGCAGTACAGACATCTTCATATCCTTAAGTAGATTTTCTATATCATTAGAAAATTTACAGTTGAAAGTTTTTAGGCATTAATATTTAAAAGCAATTTTTGTTTGCTTATTCCTAACTTTGGTTCATAGTATTTTTAAAATTTGAAGGGAAACAAAGGTTCTATTAAAGTGTATCTGTGAACATGTATCATTTGATAATTTTACAAGTAATTCAGAATTTTTGCTATTGTGATTGATGGAATAAGATTAAAAAATAAATCATCATAATTTCAGGTTGTAATTTTAGAAGTCATTGGTTTTGGATTTTCAGGAATTAAAGACAATTGTGTCACAATTAATGGCTATCTATCTTATTAGAGTCTATTATATTCTTTTTAAAAAGTGAAAAACTTTGTTTGTAATCATAGTTATTGACATCATTAAAGAATAAGTAATTGAAGATAAGTTGTTTATTTCCAAGTTTTGTTTATTGTGTGTACAAATATTTCAATTGGGGTTGCTCAATTAGTAAAAAAATTAAAAACACAAAAATTATAAACTCTGACTTCAAAATCTTATTATGTACTCGTAAACTCAACTGTATTAATTCTTATTTGTTAATTTTATCTTTTGTGATATTTGCCTAATCTGAAATAAACAGATAATAGTAGTTTATACATAATATTTCCTGTAGCCTTAAGGAATTTATTCAGAATGTTACCAATTTCACTAACATTATGAAGTATGCTAATGTACATGAGATCATAGTCAAATGATGCTTTATATATCCATCTATTTGATCAGTTAAATTTCTTACAACTGCCAACTATAAAATAATATGAAGTTTAAGAGATGAAACAATTATAAGAAGACCTTTAGACACATATAAACAAATGCTTTTCTGACATTCAGGCTAAGTATTGTATTTAACGTCTCCACATTTTAGGACTGTTCACTATGAATGCCTGGAATCATACAAATGAAGCTGACTTGATGCTTGTGGGACTGACAGATTCCAAGGAGATTCAGCTGGTCCTCTCTGTGCTGTTTCTCCTGATTTACATGCTCACTGTATTGGGGAACATAGGCATGATACTGATCATTCATCTAGATGTCCAGCTTCACACTCCAATGTATTTTTTCCTCACCCAATTGTCATTCCTTGACCTCAGTTACTCAACTGTCATCACACCTAAAACCTTACAGAACCTGTTGACCTCCATAAAGAGTATTTCCTTCATCGGATGCTTCACCCAATTGTATTTCTTTGTCCTATTGGCAGCTGCTGAATGTTTTATACTCTCCTCAATGGCCTATGACCGTTATGTAGCTATCTGCAACCCTCTACACTATCCAGTTATTATGTCCCCTAGGCGCTCATATGCTCTCATCACTGGGTCCTACATGATTGGAGCGATGGATTCCTCTGTCACTGTCTTTTGCTTAAGTACACTGAATTTCTGCCACTCCAAGGTAATTCATCATTTCTTTTGTGACACATTTCCAATTTTAGCTCTGTCCTGCAGTGATACTTACGCTGCAGAAGCCACTATATTCATTTTAGCTGGTTCTACTCTTTTGCTGTCCCTCATCACAATATCCTCATCCTATATATCTATTCTATCTACAATTTTGAAGATAAATTCTTCTTCAGGTAAGCACAAAGCCTTCTCCACTTGTGCCTCGCATCTTATAGGAGTCACTGTTTTTTATGGTACAATGATCTTTACATATTTAAAACCAAGTAAGTCCTACTCCTTGGGAAAGGATCAAGTAGCTTCTGTCTTTTATACTATTGTGATTCCCATGCTGAACCCACTTATTTACAGTCTCAGAAACAAAGAAGTGAAAAGTGCTGTCATGAGAGTTGTGAAGAAGAGAGAGTGCACCCAGAAATTAAAATAACATAGTTGCTAAATATTTAAATTCTTTTTTTCTATTAAGCTTTTCTTCAGCTTCTCTCTTGGAACAAAACTGACAGACTTTTTTCTTCTTTCTAGTTCAGTGGGGCTTCACTTACAAAAACATAGTTTGAGCATATCTCAGAATAGGAGTTTAAAAGTCTATGTCATAATTGGAAATTAAGATCTGTACATTAAATCCATGCTTTAAATATTTGTATTCATCAGGACAAATAACATGTAATATCAAAAATATATGTGTGTAATTCTTTAGTTTATATAGAATTTAATATATAATGTAATGTCAGTTATTTGTGTTAGGAAACACAACTATGGAGCATTAATAATTTCTAAAGTCATCCTTTTTATAATATGAAATTGTTCACTATATGTCCAATCTGTAGCAAGTGAGTAAAATATAAATATCAGTTTACTCATTTACATGAAGTTAATAATAAGTCCATGTCAATGTGATAACAAAATGGATATAACATATTGAAGAAATTGAAAGACTCTGCTGATTATAATTTAAAGATATTGCTAAACCTTATGCATAATACGCTTGTAGGATCTTCACAAATACTTAACTATTTTATCACTTAACTTAATCACAGTTAAATAGCTTGAAAGGAATAAAATCAATACCTCTGAAATTTGGATTTGTTTTAAATTAGTTAAGAAAACTAAATGATAGGAAAATGGCATATTGTAATATTGGTGCCAACATGGAAAATAATTAAAGTTATTAAAGAAAAGAAAGTGTCATAATTATTAATATCTATGCTCATGTTGTTCTCAATTAATAATTTTACTGTACATCTGAAAATGTATGAGAAAAACACAAAGTGCATGTTTCCCCTTTATATACTTTTGCAACTTTCTTCACTCACTTAAAAGCCTAATACTTGATCATCTTTGTCATTATAAGTTGTGAGTTGAATGTACTCTCAGTCTGTGGACAAGATCTTACTTCTTATCTTACATTCTGTTAGAGCACATATCCTATAAACACATCAAGTTAGAAGTCTTACTTATAGCAATAACCCCTGTATTACCTTGGTTGGATGGTTTGGGATACAGCAAGTAGTGTTTTATCTGTATGCTGTTGCACTGTCTTTATCTTATTAATTTACATTTGTAAAATGTTCAAAATAACATTTTGAATCAAATGATTGACAGATATTCCAATGCATTATAGAAAGAAATGCTCTTAGGCATGATATTAACAACAAATTCATGTTTTGTTGCACATCATGAATATTTTCAAATAAAGTAATAATTTTATTTTATTTTTATATTTATATACATATACCATATAATTTATCTTTAATCTTTGTTTCTTATATTTAAATTTTATTTCATTTACTTATTTATTTATTTATTTATTTATTTATTTTTGCTTTTATACTATTTTTCACTACGTGCATATACTAAGGTTAGTTCTAGGTTGAGGAGCTAGTAATACAATAGATGCACATAGTCAAGGAACAAGCAAGACACAAAACACAAATGGTCAAAGAACAAATAAGGCAATAAACAGAGTCCTGTGATCACTACAGAGTTTTAAAAACGTATTTCCAGAGCAGGAAATATGGCTCAGTGGTTAAGAGCACTGTCTATTCTTCCAAAGGACACAAGTTCAATTTATAGGACATCATATGGAGCTCAAAACTATGGCTCAAGTTCCAGATGACTTGATACTGTCGCACACTAAATAAAAAAATAAAAATTGAAAAGGAGGATTAATGAAAATATAATCCCATTCTCTAAGCAGTTAACTTTTTTGTTGATCTCTTGTAATTATATAACTATTAATTATACATTTATATATAATTGTTTGTAAATATATTATTAATTTAGAACTATACTGATCATTATGTATGTATATATTTATGTATGTTTATTTTTACAAACTTAAACTCTCCAGTTTATTCAAATATTGAAGACATGTATACTTCCTTATTTTAATTTTTTGAAATAGTGGCATATTATTTTACTAACAGTACAGAAAATACTATGCTATTTTCTCCAGGAATTGTGCTGTCTGAAATCTATATTGTTATTATTCTTATTGGTTTATGTTTGTGTTTATTAATACTAGTTTATTAAATGCTTATAATTAACATTTTTTATATTTTTATATTTTAAATTTTGAATATGCCTCTTTCAATGTTTTTTTTCATATTCAGTTAATCTTTATCACTGGTATTTACTATCAATTAATTTTTGAATAATTTTTATCATTATATTATGTATGCAGATCTAACTCAATGGTTTATAGTGTAATATATTTATAGGAATGAGACTGCATTACAATATTCAACTTTAAAATAACTTCTCCAGATTTTATTCATATGTTAAATTTATATTTTTACACATAGAACTAGTGCTGCTCTCAGATTTGGTCAGAAAAATCTCTATCCTCCGTGGGGCAATAGATAAAGCAGAGAGTAAGTGACTGCTGCATGCTCCTTCCTAAAATACACATCTACGTTGTGTACAGCTTACTGAGATTGCAATTGTATTTCCATCTCCCAACACTGTTCTTGTACTTTTCTCCTCTTTCCTAATCCCTGCTAACTCCTTCTTTGCTACTAGTGTCTGCTGCCTGTGCATCTATGTGTTTGTATATTTGCAGGTCTTCTGCAAGTTGCCACAGCTATTGTATGCTCATTATTGTGACATCCATGACACAACCATACATGTGTTTCACATTACTCTTCTAAATCCCACAGCTGCCTGTCTTCTACAACATTACCTGGGCCTTGTAAAGAGTGATATTGAAGTCTTATTCAGGACTGAACACTCAACTATCACTCTTACTACTTTGTGTAGATTAGAATCTCTGCATTAGCTGTCACCTACTGGAAAAGAAGCTTCTTGGTGAAAGCTGAGAGTGGCGATAATTGTTCTGTATAATCCCACACATCTAGAAGGGAGCTGTTCTATCATATTTTAATTTACAAATTTATCTTACTTAAGCCCTGTATATTTCTATGGCTAGGAAA